ATCATGGTATTGAAAAATCCTAGAAAGACAAAACAAATGATACATCAAAGCATTTTCTTCAGGTGACAATGTCAATAGAATGGAAGTTCTCATAACACAAGCATTTTGAAGATTTGCATGTATGATAGAGTTGAATTTATAATTTGACTACATTGTTTGATTCCAATCATAAATCTGTATTGATAGATACTATTTATACGCACAGAAAGAATGTGCAGAAATTATGAAATATATCAAGATTCCAAGTGTTGAAATATGTGCAACAGATTGATTTTGATTTCCCTATCTTTGAATCTGCGTTGTCTTCTTAAACAGGAGGCATCGGAGAAACCATCCCTCGTCTACAAGGGGTGCCCCACAATAAGTAGCCTAATAAAGCATACGCATTCTTTCCCTGTGACCTACACAGCCTGAAGTTGTTAATAAGTATTAAACAATATGTAAGCACCTTTCATCTTTAGTGTCCTAATACCAATTCATTTTAGCAATACGATGTTGTTTAGATTCCTCTCTATTTATTGGTTTTAACGCAGCCTTAATTACAGGACACATTTGTATTTAGACAGTCAACTACATATCCATGAGGAAAAATTAGCATAAAAATAAATAGCACCTTTTAGTACAAATTTAGAAGTAGATAGAGTCAAATGATAAATAAAAATGCGCCTTAATCAAGTTTTCATTCAATAAATTTTTCCATAAAAACGAAATATCATTTCGAAAAAACAAGATGATCTTTCGATAAAACGAATTGTTATTTCATAAAAATGATTTAATATTTCGAGAAAATGAAATAATATTTTGAAAAAAAAGCAGAGAAGCATTTAGTAAAAATCAATACAGTGAGTGTTTTGTAAAAGCAAAATAACAAAAATTATAAACCATATCAGTAAACGGAATCCCTAGGTATGTACTTCCATAGGCAAACCATTTATAATCAATTAATTCAATTAACAAATCATATATCAATGAGAAAAAATACATATTAGTTTATTTATTGATTGGTAGAAACAAAAGATCAAGTGTGAAGTTTATTGAGAAATTATATAAATAACACAGGAAACAAATAATAAACGTTCTTATGTAGACAAAAAAAAAAGTTGATTTACTGGAAATTGAAGATCAAGTGTGTTTATATAAATATCACTGAAAACAAAGAATGAGATTCTTTATGAAGACACTGCAGCTACCAGACAAAACGTTTATTTACATACAGTAAACATTATTTCGACATAAATGATGGTTAAATTACACCAGTAATATCTAGTTGTTATTGTAATTTCCTTACAGTAACATTTAATTTGACACAGCTCTTAGTCTCTGGTTTTGTATGTAAATGATAACTTTGCTTTACAAATCATTTTAATCCTCGTTTTAACTCGATTTACTCGTATGCTACTTTAGTTTCATACATATTTACTTTGAATTATAAAAAGACAGATACTTCTTTATCTTAACATTCTAAGCCGATATCACCACACACTAATGACATATGTCCACCGTCATCAGTACCTACCTGATGCTGCCCACAATAACAGGATCACCGACACCACTGACTGAATGTCACATCTGTCCATGGTAGCTTTCGCGTTCTGTATACCAGTAATACAGTTGATATTTTGAAGAAGAATGTTTCTGGTAAGTGTCAGTTCCTTTCACTTAAGTTCAAACACACAACACACACACACACACACACACACACACACACACACACACACACACACACTATATGAACAGAGTAATCCACATTTATAAAAAGGCTGGTGTTCGCTAGTACATATTGAAAGTTTTTCTTGACACATACATGACAAGTAGAATGGATACATCTATCCCGACGATATCAAACCTTTTAATAAACAATTCGTATGAAGCAGTGTAGAATAAAATAGTTCATCTTATAGCATCAAAGTCTGAGTGTATGACGTTACAGGTATATGCGGCCCTTAATAGGCATTTTGAACATTAAACCACTAGACCGTTGCCTTTAGATTGGTACCTTATTATCCTACAACCTTTGGATTAAATTATTAAATTCTTCACTTACTTATAACATCATAAAGGACATTTGTATTTTAGTCGTTTATATAAACTAATATATATTAATAATACACTTTTTATCTGAAAATAACCTCGCCCAAGGGAAATGTTTGCCATTGAAGATAATTGATTATTAATGTGTATGTCACTGATGTTGATGCTTTGACTGATTGATATATTCTCCAAGGTGAAAAACAAACTTAACTCACCATGCCTACTGTAGGTAGTACAAGCTAACCCTTTAACTCCCCCCGCCCAAGCCTCTTTATCAAGATGATATGGCTTTAATCTACAAATGTCAACCATTGAATATTCATCCCAATTCCATCTTTAGCTGAGGGTCTACTCACCGCACACTATATCTCCCACAGTGGAGAGGAGGATCAGTATACCAGGACCCTAATGCTCTACCCCCCACAGTGGAGTGGAGGGTCAGTATACCAGGACCCTAATGCTCTACCCCCCACAGTGGAATGGAGGATCAGTATACCAGGAGCCTAATGCTGTATCCCCCACAGTGGAATGGAGGATCAGTATACCAGATGCCTAATGCTGTATCCCCCACACTGGAGTGGAGGATCAGTATACCAGGAGCCTTAAGCTGTATCCCCTACAGTGGAGTGGAGGAGCAGTATACCAGGAGCCTTAAGCTGTATCACCAACTGTGGAGTGGAGGGTCAGTATACCAGGAGCCTAATACTGTATCCCCAAAAGTGGAGTGGAGTGTCAGTATACCAGGAGCCTTATGCTGTATTCCCAAAGTGAAGTGGAGGATCAGTATACCAGATGCCTAATGCTGTATCCCCCACAGTGGAGTGGAGTATCAGTATACCAGGAGCCTAATGCTGTATCCCCCACAGTGGAGTGGAGGATCAGTATACCAGGAGCCTAATGCTGTATCCCCCACTGTGGAGTGGAGGATCAGTATACCAGATGCCTAATGCTGTATCCCCCACAGTGGAGTGGAGGATCAGTATACCAGATGCCTAATGCTGTATCCCCCACAGTGGAGTGGAGGATCAGTATACCAGGAGCCTAATGATGTATCCCCCACAGTGGAGTGGAGGGTCAGTATACCAGGAGCCTAATGCTGTATCCCCCACAGTGGAGTGGAGGATCAGTATACCAGGAGCCTAATGCTGTATCCCCCACAGTGGAGTGGAGGATCAGTATACCAGGAGCCTAATGCTGTATCCCCCACAGTGGAGTGGAGGATCAGTATACCAGGACCCTAATGCTGTATCCCCCACAGTGGAGTGGAGGATCAGTATACCAGGAGCCTAATGCTGTATCCCCCACAGTGGAGTGGAGGATCAGTATACCAGGAGCCTAATGATGTATCCCCCACAGTGGAGTGGAGGGTCAGTATACCAGGAGCCTAATGCTGTATCCCCCACAGTGGAGTGGAGGGTCAGTATACCAGGAGCCTAATGCTGTATCCCCCACAGTGGAGTGGAGGATCAGTATACCAGGAGCCTAATGCTGTATCCCCCACAGTGGAGTGGAGGATCAGTATACCAGGAGCCTAATGCTGTATCCCCCACTGTGGAGTGGAGGGTCAGTATACCAGGAGCCTAATGCTGTATCCCCCACTGTGGAGTGGAGGGTCAGTATACCAGGAGCCCAATGCTGTATCCCCCACAGTGGAGTGGAGGATCAGTATACCAGGAGCCTAATGCTGTATCCCCCACAGTGGAGTGGAGGATCAGTATACCAGGAGCCTAATGATGTATCCCCCACAGTTGAGTGGAGGGTCAGTATACCAGGAGCCTAATGCTGTATCCCCCACAGTGGAGTGGAGGATCAGTATACCAGATGCCTAATGCTCTATCCCCCACAGTGGAGTGCAAGATCAGTATACCAGGAGCCTAATGCTGTATCCCCCACAGTGGAGTGGAGGATCAGTATACCAGATGCCTAATGCTCTATCCCCCACAGTGGAGTGGAGGATCAGTATACCAGGAGCCTTAAGCTGTATCCCCCACAGTGGAGTGGAGGATCAGTATACCAGGAGCCTAATACTGTATCCCCCATCATTCTTGTCACTCTTACTATAAATTTTATTCATGTATAAAAATATTTGATATGTCCATTAATATTAACCAGACTAATAATCAATTGTTTTGAAATACGAAAAGATCCTATCAGAATAGTATAAATCATAATGAAGTATTAACAAATACCTTTAGTGTAGGGCGTTCTCTAAACCCTTGTTGTCTGTACATTCCGTGCATTTCAGTTGTTAAGCTTTTTATGGTATACTTTTATGTACTTATCCATTATTTGAAATACATATATAAGGATATATATTAAATCAACACTTTATAAGTCATTTAAAGAGAGAAAAATTCTGAGTTAAAAAATGGCAACCGACCTTATAGTGTTGGAAACACATTTAATGTCATCTCAATGTTCAATGTGGCTATAAAACGTCACACATTAGGATGTAAGTTAGGACGTACATATTTATATCTAGACACGCTGACTACTGATGTACCTTTTCGTCACCCATGGTACAGTCCCTTTACATTTTATCCCAAACTGTACAAAATGTTAATCTAAAAAACGGCAACAATGCAGATACCAGGATAAGCGTGACAAGTTGAACTGAAGAGCCGAGAGACTTTATCACGTCTAAAACGTAACTGGAGAAGTATTGTGTCTTGTATTGACCAATATATTGTATTTACGATTAATCTATAATCTATTATAGACAAAAAGGAAATGGACAACATGGCATAACCTATGTAAGCAATAATGTGGTAATGAACCAAATATAATATACTGTTAAGGCAGCCTCAAAGAAAGTAGTATAACATCAGGAACTAAATCCCATCCAGCATAACATGCAATCCTCATGCCTTATCAGACTTGACACTTCATATTCTGAACCTTGGTCTGTGACATCTAGGTCTGAGATAACGCTGGACTTAGTGTTTGGTTTGTACATAAGGAGTACAGAGATGAGTTGGTGTCTTATCTTCCATATGATTTATGGAATTAGTCAGGCAAGTTCATACTACTTGTAATTATTTGTGGTTTATCGACGATTGAATGTTTCGACCTAAAATGACAACTTATCGAAGTTTTTAGAAATGATCACCACAATTTTCTGTTCTTTTAAGTAAGCTTAGTGTAATCAATTTGAACTACATTTTGTTCAAAAGATTTGCACAACAGACACACAAGTCGATAACTTTTTAAAATTAGACACTGCATCACACATCTGTTTCCCTTTGTAAGACTATCTGTGGCACTAGGAATCATAGGTTGTGATACCTATGACTACTGAGGTGCTTCATAATTAATAAGTTTCAATAATAACGGCTGACAATGATAATTTACATTGGTCAGCATACTGCTTTGTGGTGTCTCTTTGTCCGTATTATAAACTTCCGTCCTCTATTCTAATCTAGTAGGGAGGGTGATTGTTGACATTTTGTTGATATGTCAACACTTGGCTAATATAAGATATATATAACATTGGACACCTCCTTTCAGTATGTGACTTTGCTTTCTTTATTTGGCACTGTTCTTTCAGTTCAATTCTAATCCAATATGGAGTAAACACATTTTGCAAGTACCTTCCTTAATCGTTGTCAGTTGACGTGAGATGTTCAAGCTTAAGGTGGCACATTGTATATTCCATAGTCAGTAGTGTTAATTAATTTCATTATTTAGGATACATTGTATCACTTTTGAGTTACTGAAGTGTTATATTTGTGTGTCTTTTATACACTCCATCGTATGCATGATGATATATTGTTCGTAATACTACTTATCAATTAGATAAACATGTAGAAAACACGTATTTTGTTTGCAAGATTTAAAACAAATTATTTTGAATCTCAAAGAAACCATAGCCCTTTTTAGTGACTTGTCCATAACATAGATTGTAGCTGTCAGTGGAGGAGGTACAGGTCTGGTTCGTCTGGTAGATACAACAGGTGCTACTTTGGACGTTTGTGTAGGACCAGCAGTAGGGAAGCTTTCCTCACGGTAAGTCCTGTGCTGATATTAATTATATATAGGATATTACATATATAGTATTACAATGTACATTTCCGTTATGGTTGGTCGGCTTTACAACATAACAACCTAATGTATAATGCCGATTTATCCCGCTATAGGAAGAAGACCATGAAAAAACAACCAATATCTCTCGGCATCTCATCACCCGTGCTGATTAATATTCATGATGAACTGTAATAGTAAAGATATGATATCGCTATAGGTGACTGAATCTACTACAAGTAAATACACGAGGAAACATTCTGTAATTAAATAAAAGAAACATTGTTTTGATCAATGTCTGTATTTATCGAATTACCGTACTGTCCTTGACTTTTTTTAACACGTCTAGTGTATCAATAGTCAACAGATTGCATAGAAGTAAATGATACATGTCATTAAAGATTTAGATACAGTAGAGTCAGATAATGATATTGACTTTAACAGTATAAAATCAGCGATTCATTACTTTCATTTGATCTCACGTCTAATTTCTAGTCTTGTGGTGTGTAGCTAGATGTAACATTATCGCTGCATATATGATGTATCTTATAACTGATACATAAAATAGTAATATAGACTATTGATATTGTTGATAACTGGTACATAAAATAGTAATATAGACTATTGATATTGTTGATAACTGATACATAAAATAGTAATATAGACTATTGATATTGTTGATAACTGGTACATAAAATAGTAATATAGACTATTGATATTGTTGATAACTGGTACATAAAATAGTAATATAGACTATTGATATTGTTGATAACTGGTACATAAAATAGTAATATAGACTATTGATATTGTTGATAACTGATACATAAAATAGTAATATAGACTATTGATATTGTTGATAACTGGTACATAAAATAGTAATATAGACTATTGATATTGTTGATAACTGGTACATAAAATAGTAATATAGACTATTGATATTGTTGATAACTGGTACATAAAACAGTAAGATAAACTATATATAAACATATAGTTTATTATACATCACTAGTGTCATTGTGGTTGATGGGTTGCAGTTGGAAGATACATGACATATTGAAATCTTAAGCATGTTTGTTGTTTGTTTACATAAGATCATTTCAGAAATTATCATTATAATTGATGCTAAGTCGATTTTTCAGTAGATGATGAGTTGACTATCAAGATGACTTGCTCCCCTTATATTTCAGATGTTTGTATGGCAGAAAGGTGTTTAAAGCACATCATGACTTCGGTGAGATCCAGGTTGGAAATGAAATCAGGGAAAAGCCACACTCACTTTCCTTCCGTTTTGAATCGTTGACGGTGAATATATATGTACTTCCGAATTATTGTTCTTCAATGCTCTGCTTAATGACCATTCTAGACATTTGACAATGATATTTGGAAATGTTACATACCAGTTACAAAAATATGACATTAGGTATTGATTTGTTATAATTATATCTCTAACACATTTTAAAGATTCTGCACAAGGTCTTCACTGAGGATGAAATTGAACGGAACAGAAATATTTGTTTAGCAGTGGAAGGAAACAGGGCGAGAAATTACCCTTTTCTTTCGATGTAAAATTAGTTGTTGATATGAAAAAAGAGAAAAGAGTTCCTTGCATCAATATTTACGTTTCTTTCACCGTCCTTTGAAAACAAACCAATCTAAACATCCAAATTGATAACTTATGTAGTACCAGTTTGGAGAAACTTGCACCACTTATCCCTTAGTGAAGAAAGATGAAATATGTCGTCTACTGTGTCTAGATTGAGAACACATCGTTTACGTTGTATTTCAAGAGATTTTTTATATTTTTCCTGTTGTATTTTTATGTCAATTTTAAGATTCCGTCGGTATAACGTTCAGAGAAAGCTGTGTTTCCGTTGGTTTAGACAGGGTTGGTGGTGACACTTAGGGTTGTTCGTGGTTATCAGGAGAAATCTCCTGGAGCTATCAGCGTCTCTCTGACCGGTCAATTTGACCCTATTGGTTATATACACACCAGGACTTTAGTGATAAAACGAATCAAGTAAGACTAAGTATAAAAAATAATTACTTTCTTTTCTTATCAGGTAGTAGAAAAATTGTTATCAATCTCGTCACCGTCTGTGAACTTTTGTGTGTTCTTAAGTAGCTATTTGTAAAAGATATAGAGTTAAGATTTGAACAGAATGGGACAACCTACAGACATGCATCTACCTGTTCAAACTATCGTTGTCATTTACACAAACAGTTATCAGTAAACAAATGTGACTTAAATGAATCACAAAGTGAAATTTAAAGTTTACGTACGTTTAATTCGACTGATAAATGATTAATTTTTCACTTTTCTCAACAGCATCACCTTAGAGTATATCCTTATGTGTGACGAGTATTATCATGGGGACTGCTCAGCCTACTGCCACCCCAAGCACCCGATGTATGACTGTGAAACGGACGGGAACAAGCTATGTCTTACTGGTAAGATGGCGTCGATCCAATCTTGGTATAAAAATCAACTGTTGGTACATGTGTTCTACAATAAGTATTATTTCCGTAGAGACCCAGGAAAGGAATGGACTATAGCTAGAATACTTTCAAAGTACGTGTTGATCATTTCTTTGCTTTCACTCAGATTCAGCTTCCTAACTTATTCCGAGAAATTGATATTTAGGTTGGACTGGAAGCAATTGTGATGTCCGAGATGACACCTGTGGAACCAACCCTTGTCGCCATGGTGGTACCTGTACTAATATACCACACAACCACCACTTCTGTGTGTGTACACCGCAATGGACAGGTAAGTAAAACCTATACACCACAATGGACAGGTAATAAAAACCTGTACACCGCAATGGACAGGAAAGTAAAACCTGTACAACGCAATGGACAGGTAAGTAAAACCTGTACAACACAATGGACAGGTAAGTAAAACCTGCACACCACCATGGACAGATAAGTAAAATTTGTTCACCACACTGGACAGGTAAGTAAAAACTGTACAACACAATGGACTGGTAAGTAAAACATATTCACCATACTGGACAGGCAAGTAAAACCTGTACAACACAATGGGCAAGTAAATAAACAATACAAAGATTATGACAGGTACAACCTTTTCTCAGACGCGGTCTGTTAAAAAAAGTTTGGGTAATTTATTTAAAAACAAAATAAGACTGCTATAAATATACTGATAAGGAATGTATGTATGAGCAAGTCTATGCGTACTTCTAAAAAGTCGTTGAATGGAAATTGGTATGAAAAAGTGTGAGTGTACAAGTCTGGAGAGAAAACACATGAAACACATTGTTGAAGTAAACATTGCTGAAATCAGTATCTTGTTCTCCGAGTGCAAAAAAAGTAAATAAACCCTGTACGAATATAACACACAAACAATAACAGCTCAGCAGTATGATAAACAAGAGGCAAGAAGAGAAGTATTTCAGCTGTATGAGAGAGGCAAGACAAAAGGAAAAAAATTAAATAAGAGGTTTGGTCGTGGTAAAAAGGGTTCATAAAAAAACTTGAAAAAATGAAAAAGATCTTCTATGTTAATAACAGAACCGTTCTGTGCCTTGTTTCTAATCTAGTATTTCAGCGTAATGTATATTATTTCACCTAAAGCATATTTTTTTTTCTACCTAATCATGTGTTGACTTTCAGGACATAACTGTGAGACACCCGTGAAAACATAAGACAACTCTGTGGTGTTTAGACGTCGTCTTGACAATTGGGTTGTGTGACAATCAACGGTACAAAAGCAGTTGTCCTCACTGGTTGATTTTTTTCTGTTGTAAACATTATAATTTGTACATAAAACATGTATTCAACATTTCACATTGTTATTGTTTTTTCTTAGACTTAAAACGTTCATTTAAAACTAAGATATTGAACAAAGTGCACATTTTAAACAACACAAATTTGTTGTATTGATGTATTATAATGTTGTCACGAGAATAATGTAGTAAACAAATAACATTTTTACCAACTGTAAACTCTGTGTTTATTAACAGATTTCTGTTATTCCTGCAATTTCGTGTAAATCAGTGTCCTCTTAACAGACAAATCTAGATCGAGTCATTCTAAAGTAATTCCTGTAATTTCGTGTAAATCAGTGTTTTTTTCTCTAAACATACAAATTTAGATTGAGTCATTCTAAAGTAATTCCTGCAATTTCGTGTAAATCAGTGTTTTCTCTAAACAGACAAATTTAGATCGAGTCATTCTAAAGTAATTCCTGCAATTTCGTGTAAATCAGTGTTTTCTCTAAACAGACAAATTGAGATCGAGTCATTCTAAAGTAATTCCTGCAATTTCGTGTAAATCAGTGTCTTCTTTAAACAGACAAATTTAGATTGAGTCATTCTAAAGTAATTCCTGCAATTTCGAGTAAATCAGTGTTTTTTTTTCTAAAGTAATTCCTGCTAAACAGACAAATTTAGATTGAGTCATTCTAAAGTAATTCCTGCAATTTCGAGTAAATCAGTGTCTTCTTTAAACAGACAAATTGTGATCGAGTCATTCTAAAGTAATTCCTGCAATTTCGTGTAAATCAGTGTTTTCTCTAAACAGACAAATTTAGATTGAGTCATTCTAAAGTAATTCCTGCAATTTCGTGTAAATCAGTGTCTTCTTTAAACAGACAAATTTAAATCAAGTCATTCTAAAGTAATTCCTGCAATTTCGTGTAAATCAGTGTTTTCTCTAAACAGACAAATTTAGATTGAGTCATTCTAAAGTAATTCCTGCAATTTCGAGTAAATCAGTGTTTTTTCTCTAAACAGACAAATTTAGATCGAGTCATTCTAAAGTAATTCCTGCAATTTCGTGTAAATCAGTGTCTTCTAAACAGACAAATTTAGATTGAGTCATTCTAAAGTAATTCCTGCAATTTCGAGTAAATCAGTGTCTTCTTTAAACAGACAAATTGTGATCGAGTCATTCTAAAGTAATTCCTGCAATTTCGTGTGAATCAGTGTTTTCTCTAAACAGACAAATTTAGATTGAGTCATTCTAAAGTAATTCCTGCAATTTCGTGTAAATCAGTGTCAATTTCTGTACATCAAACAGACAAATTTAGATTGAGTCATTCTAAAGTAATTCCTGCAATTTCGAGTAAATCAGTGTCTTCTTTAAACAGACAAATTTAGATTGAGTCATTCTAAAGTAATTCCTGCAATTTCGAGTAAATCAGTGTTTTTCTCTAAACAGACAAATTTAGATCGAGTCATTCTAAAGTAATTCCTGCAATTTCGTGTAAATCAGTGTCTTCTAAACAGACAAATTTAGATTGAGTCATTCTAAAGTAATTCCTGCAATTTCGAGTAAATCAGTGTCTTCTTTAAACAGACAAATTTAGATCGAGTCATTCTAAAGTAATTCCTGCAATTTCGTGTAAATCAGTGTTTTCTCTAAACAGACAAATTTAGATTGAGTCATTCTAAAGTAATTCCTGCAATTTCGTGTAAATCAGTGTCTTCTTTAAACAGACAAATTTAGATTGAGTCATTCTAATGTAATTCCTGCAATTTCGAGTAAATCAGTGTCTTCTTTAAACAGACAAATCTAGATCGAGTCATTATAAAGTTCATCACATCTTGTGAACACATTGCAGTCCCTCACAGGGTGATCAAAGATACAACGCCTCCAAACACGTCGGTACAGTTTTTGTCTGCTGACTCCTATCTAATTACTAAAACATATTGAAGTGTTGATAGTTATCATATTGGAAACATAACTAATAAGAACACAAAACATAGGACACTGTCTGTTTTATTTGTCAGTAAATTACTGACACCTAGGAATGTCTACATTTGGTACGTATATTTGTCTCGGTGTGGTTTGATTGATGACTCCAACATACGCTGAACACATGACGCGAACAGGGTGGCGACCATATTGGTGTGTTCTCTTTTAATATTGAGATTAACCGATCTTTGTAAATACAATGAAATACAGAGTAATAACTGGACCACTTCACATATCGTTATCAGTGATATACGTGATGATGTTCATTCAGACAGATATTCCTTATGCCTGTTATCATCAGACAGGTATTCGGCGTTGGTACCTCAAGTGTCTCGTCGAAACATGGCGTTCATCATCCGATTTGTAATCGTGTCCCTGTTATACGAGATAATGAAGGTAATGTCGATTTTTCTAAATCTTGCTTCTTCTATATAAAACTAATTACTGTATTTGTTTTCATAAACACTCAATAATTTGGTTAATCATAGTTATCGGATAATCGGGCCTCCACATTACGATACATTTATTGACAGGTAGAGGGTGGAGGCACAGTGTACATCCGGTTCCTTTCCTACTCTAATCCCACACACAAAGACGACGCGGGCCAGTGCTGTGAGAGTCTGAGTACGAGCGGATGTGGTGCCAACGAGTGTGATCCATTCTTCAAAATTTGTGTGGAAAGAATAGGGAGTTCGGGGTGAGTTTAACTATGTGGAAATGTCAGTTTTCTGGGAAGTTTAACAACCGTTTTAGCCCAATCATATTTCAAGAAAAAGATATCAATGAAATTATGGATGCTTTACTTTATGGTAATTAAAGTATTGTATGTAAAATTTCAGGATATCAGTTCTCTGAAGCAAAACGTCATTTGCTTTGCAATTTGTTTTTGTGTTTGTTGTTATTTCAAATACAAAGAAATGGTGAATCAAAAAGACGCTGACCTTTCCAGAGCACCTGATTACATATATATATATATATTATGAATTTATAATCTGTTGACGTCAGTATTGATTTTGTTGTTGATGTTTTAGGTCATCTAAAAGGGTCAGGATGACCTATAGTCATCTTGTTTCGTCCTTCGTCGTGCAACGGGCGCCGTCCGTGTGTGTAAACATTCCGTTCAAACAGTTTATTAAAATGAATGACCTTGGCTCAATTTCAAGACGACAGGGTTCAAATGTTTTGCAGTCTTTAAATGACTTCTTCTCAATAATCCAAAGCCCAGGGTCCCTGTATCGGGTCTGTGACATAGTTTGATGAAAGGTTTGTTAACGTGATTGACCTTGACCAACTTTCAAAGTCACAGGTGTCAAATATGTTAATATATTTAAATGCCTCCTCAATAACCAGAATGCACAAGTTGGTGATATTGGAGCTGTTGCATGCTGGGATAAAAGGCTACCTGGTTTGCTAAAATAAGTTACCTTGCCTCACTTTAAAGGTCACGGGATGAAATGTGTTGAAAGCTTTAAACGACCTCGAAATAACCATTCGATCTATGATTCTTATATTTGTTCTGTAGCGTATTGGTATGAAGGGCTAACAACTTCGTTCATGCGTTATTGACTTTGTCCACTTTCATGGTCACTGAGGTTAGATATGTCAAAATATTTAAATGACTTCTTTGCAATAGCCAAAATACAGCAAAACGGCAACAGGTTTGATTTTGAGTCTGTAGCGTGCTGGGATGAAGGGTTACCAAGATTGTTAAAATTAATGACATTGACTTACCTTCAAGGTCAGAGGGCTAAAATGTGGTAGGATATATAAACGACATCTTCTCAATTACCCAATGACGAGGATGTTGAAATTAGGCTTGTAGCATTCTATAATGAAGGCCTACCTTTGTTAACGTGATTGGCCTGACTTTCTTTTAAAGGTCAAAGATATCAAATATGTCAAAATCGACTTCTGCTCCATGATAGAAAGGTCCAAGCTGTTAAAATGGGCTTTATGAACATAATTTAATGAAGGGCTACCACATTTATTCAAATAATAGACCTTGACATACTTTCAGTCTTTAAGGTCAAATGAGTTGAGATCGTAGAATTTCTTTTTCAACAAGCAACAGGTCCGGAGTTGTGGTATTTAGTAGCATACAAAAAGAATAGAATTTCACATCTGTAGAAAATGATTTTTATGAACCGAAAATGTATTCTTTGTAGGCTGTGTAGTAGTCAAACAATTTAGGCCTATTTGGCCTCTTCCATATAAAAAATTTCATAATCAGATGACCGTTAAGACACATGGGCCTATTGTTTCTCTCACTCTAGAATTTGTAACTTTTACGTCACTGTCATAACAGATGTAATTGTCAAATTTCTCTTTTCTAAATAATGATAAAGCATTTAATTGACTAATCTAATCATCTCATTTAATTGTCGAAGTTCGGATAACATGTAAACACTCCACACCTTGAATTACGACGTCGCCTTTATTCATAAACATTTTGAAGTTTACATCAAATCTTGTAACCCTTGATTGCTTTAGGTGTGAATACGGCCAGATAAAGACAGAGGTTCATGACAACACGGATTCGATTAGGTTTGGAAATCTCATTCGGACCATGCCCAATCCTATCGTAAAGACATTTAGTAACTGGGGGGTATGTATCTCCTTTGTTTCATATATGATTAGATATATAGGTATTTCAACATGTGCAATGTAAAAAAATTGATCATGTGGAGTTCTCTGACTTTTACTGTAAAGCAGTATGATTCTCTTTTATTCAATTGTTATACTTAATGATCGTGTTTCTTCCATGACTTAAACGGTTCTGTTTGATATACATTGTATATATTACTGAGCTTTGTTTACACCTTGTTTTCCTTTCCCTAGTCTGGGATCGACGTGAAGGTAGATGTAGTGGACAAAGATTCGTCCTCTCTCCTGGATAGTGATGATCCAATTGGATCTATAAGTTATCGAATAACTGGACCTGTTGATC